AGAATGTTTCCTTCCTGCCTTCCTTACAGGATTAGCCCTGTAAAGCAGAAAAAAAAACAAAAGAAGATTTCTTCCAACAACCGGTTCTCTGAACCTCTTAGAAAGTTAAGAACCGGTTCTCCCGAATAGGTGCGAACTGGCTGAATCCCACCACTGAAAGGACCAAAGGAGCAGTAAGAAATTAGTTAAGTGCACCAGATTAAGGGAATAGCAGTAAATTAAACAATGGAGAGCAAAGCAAAGGGGGTGGGGGGAAGCAATGATAATGATAGGAGCGAGAGGAAAAGGATGAGGAATAAAGAGTACAACACGGCATCCTATATGAGAACTGTAAACTCATCTGATTGTTATTGCTATGGCTCAAAATCTTGCTCTCTAAATTGGTCACGGAAGAGGAAATTCACAATTTAAGATTGGAATGTCTTCTGATGAGCTAGAGGTTTACCATTAATACAGGGCAGGAGGCAACTTGAAAGAACATGCATGATTGGTTCACTCTCTGAATCTGGGCCTAAGTAGAGGGTTTGTGGTTAAGGCACCTTGCGAAGTCTCTCCTCCAACATCTTTGAGAATAAGGAGACCAACCTCATCCAATGTCAATGCTTTTTTAAGAGCCTTACAGGGAATTATACAATATGTTATTCCCCAAAAGATATAGGAGTCCTGGTTTGGCCTACCTATTTTACAGCCCCCGTCATCTTTAAATTGAAATTAAAAAACCACTTCATTAACAGCTCCCCGCCCACCCCCCTAAAACCAGCATGAATAAAGTGTGGGTTGAGAGTCAGCAGTGAGCCCAATCAAAGAGAACAGAATTAGCAGCTCAGGAACTCAAAAGCTCAATTCAGCCAAGGTTCCAACCAATAAAATATCCTTTGGGCCTCCAGCGAGGCACAACCAAGCTCTAGCTGGAAGAAAATGTTTGGAATTAAATGATTAGTATTTTACACAGCTTTTCTACGTTCTTCCTGTGAGCTGCATTAAGAAGGGTCCTCTATCCAGAAAAGTAAAGTAAACTGATTGCATATCTATGAAGATTCTCAATCAGCCAGGTTTTCCCAAAGGAGCTTTTAAAAAGGCAACTGGACTTTCTTCGCTTTTTTAAAAAAAAGTTTCACTTCTCATCCCAGAAGCTTCTTCAGTTTTTCAACTGCTGCTGGTTTTCCAATTCCGTTATTCAAATTCTCCCACCCACCCCCCAAATCAGAAGAGCGACTTGGAATCCCTTAGGAAATATGGGATTTTCTTTTATAACACCGAAACTATTTACCTGTTCTCAGCTTTACGGAAATTTCAGTAGCTCAGCAAAGCAGGACAATCCTACAGCTTATTTATTCATTTCGTTCTTAATGATAGACACGTCAGGCTCATCCCAATCCCACAGAGTTCTGAAGAAGCTTCTTGGAGGAGAAGCGTGACGTTTTCAAAGAAAAGAAAAAAAAACAAGAAAGTCCAGTTGTCTTTTGGAAAAGCACCTTTGGGAAAACTAATTGCATCTGTTTTTTTTTTTTTTTAATTGCACCATCCAGTTAGCAAGAATTTCATAGACTCTGCATTTCTAATCTATGTTCTGCATCCACATTGCTGGTTGGATCCCTACATTGGATCTGGTGGATCTCAATT